CCCCCGCAACCCGGCCCCGCTCTCGGCCGCTGCTGCCACCTCCCGGCGCCGCGGCACCGCCGGGACTCCTGAGCCCGGTCTGATCCCCGTGGCCCTACAATCCCTGCCCTTCTTCATCCCTGCATCCCCTTGTTCCTACATCCCTGCATCCCCACATCCCACCACCCCTACATCCCTTCCACTCTTCATCCCTGCATCCCTTCCCTCTATCCCTTCTCTCCCTGCATCCCTATGTCCCCACATCCTTCCACCCCTACGTCCCTGTCCTTCTTCATCCCTGTGTCCCCTTGTCCCTACAATCCCTGCCCTTCTTCATCCCTGCATCCCCTTGTTCCTACATCCCTGCATCCCCACATCCCACCACCCCTACATCCCTTCCACTCTTCATCCCTGCATCCCTTCCCTCTATCCCTTCTCTCCCTACATCCCTGCATCCCCTTGTCCCTACAATCCCTGCCCTTCTTCATCCCTGCATCCCCTTATCCCTACATCCCTGCATCCCCGCATCCCTCCACCCCTACATCCCTGTCCTTCTTCATCCCTGCGTCCCCTTGTCCCTACATCCCTTCCGCTCTTCATCCCTGCATCCCTTCTCTTTATCCCTTCCCTCCCTGCACCTATGTCCCCACATCCCTCCACTCCTACCTCCCTGTACCCCTATGTTCCCACATCCCTCCATCCCTGCATCCGCCCCTGGGGATCACAGACAGCCCTGCTCTGCCCTCACCACTTGGGAAGGGCAGAGAGGGATTTCAGTGCCAGATATAAGGGGATTTTTGGGAGATCTGGATCCCAGAAAGGCCAAGCAGGACAATCAGGATGATTCCCAGCCTGCAGACTGGGACTGGGAGGCCTGAGCCTGAATGTGCTCTGGCCTGGGCTGGGACAAAAACAATACCTGGCTGCTGCCCGCAATTTTTCCCCAGCCACTTGCCTCCCGTGTGCTCAGCCCCTGCTGTCCCCTGCTCCAGGGATGCAGCATCCCTGTCCCAGAGTGGTTTGGCCACAGCCCCCACCAACACTCCCTGGCCGTGGGCTCAGGGACTGGAGAAGGAGAGACTTCCCCTGGTCTGATCCCCAGGTGTGATCCCCATGTCCCTACAATCCCTGCCCTTCTTCATCCCTGCATCCCCTTGTCCCTACATCCCTGCATCCCCACATCCCTCCACCCCTACACCCCTGTCCTTCTTCCTTCACCCTGCTGGGTGGGCAGGGGAAGGGGACGCTGTCACTGTGCCCTGATGTGGGGAAACTGAGGCAGGGGCCAATGCAATGTGCAGCACATGAACATGCTGGGACCAGCAGAGGGACGAAGCATCCTCTCCCTGCCCTTGGAGCTCGGCTGGGCTCAGAATTGTCCCTGCCTTTGCAGCCTGTGTTCTCCCCTGGTTGCTGCCAGGCTCATGACAGACCCTCAAAGCCCACCCTGGGCCAGGGGGCACCTTACAAGCAGCTTTGACCAGGCAATGATAAAAAAACTCCACAAATGAGCTTGGGGAGGAGGGGGAAAATGGAGGTTACCTGCCAGGGCACCTGCTGCGTGGTCCTCAGGGTGACAACCCACCCAGCTCTGCGCTGCGGCTCCGCATCTCCATCCCCTCCGCTCCACCAGCACAGGGCTGTGACAGCCCCTGCGCCCCAGGAGCAGGACTGGTGGGTGGGGTGGCAGGTCCCCACGAGGTTCAGGGGGTCCCTGTGGGGCTCAACACATCCATGGTGGCACCTGTAACACAGAGCCGACATCAGACCCGAAACATCCCGCCTGGAAAAGCACCTTCCCATCCCCACGCTTCCAGCAGCCTGCTGTGTTTTTGCAGGAAAAAAGTTTCTTCTGGACCCAGGGCTGAGGTTTTTTGGCCGCCTCTCATCCCTCTCCACCCCTTCCTTGAAATTTTCTAGGATTTTCAGCAAAGCCGTTGAAGAGCACCAGGTTCCTCAAACGTCACATTTTTCTGCTTTAAAAGGCTCAGGTTTGGTTGCAAAAAACACAAATATATAAAAAATTACATATCTATGTACCTAAAAAAGCAAAGATTCTGTGTGTATGTGCCTGGCTGGGGTTGATACAAGTCCTCCGGCCACCACCATTTTTTTTTTAACTTATTTTCACAAGAAAAAGCATCCCAGGGGCCCCAATGGCTGCCCAGGTGTGCTGTGCCCCCGAGAGACCCCACTCCCACACTGTGGTGCTGCCCAAGTGACACTGTCCCCTCCAGACCACTGCCCCGACTTGCCCGGCCTCGTGACCCCAGCCCCTTTCACAGGTGGGGAAACTGAGGCACGGAGCCTGCACAACCTCCCAGCAGCTCCTCCCAGCCAGCAGGGACCCTGATCCCGAGGGAATGCCCATGACCTGTGGTGCTCCTTACCCTGGCAGCCCCTCATCCCAAGCTGTTCCAGCTGTTTTTGCCGTGCTCCAGCTGTTGAGTAGCTCAGGAGGCCAGCGGTCCCCTCCCAGCTGGGTTTTCCTTCCAGGTCTCTGCTAAATCCATCTCCTTCGTGGGCGCCGCTCTGCTTCCCTCCTCAGCAGGCTGCTCCCGTGGCGGGCAAAACCAGCAGATCTTCCCACTTGGAAAAATCTGGGGGGGGATTTTGGAGATCTTGGGGGTTTTTGGCTATCCTGGGGGGGGATTTGGTCACCTAGGGGGGGATTTTGACCATCCCAGTGGGGATGTTGGCCACCTGGGGGGGGATTTTGGCCATCCTGGTGGGGATTGTGGCCACCTGGGGAGGATTTTGGCCACCTGGGGGGGGATTTTGGCCATTCTGGTGGGGATTGTGGCCACCTGGGGGGTTGTTGGCCCACCCAAGAGGTGCTCCACCAGAGGAGCTGGAGCCTTGTGGGACCAGCATCCCCACCCTGGCTGGTGGAAAGAGGGAGGTCCGTGCCACCGCAAACTGGGCAGAGATGTGTCACTGGTCCCAGCACCCACTGGGCTGTGTCACCCCGTAGCTCGGCCTGTTGGGAGACAGCTTGGGGTGTTCCTGGTGGGCTGTGAACATCAGGGAGGGGAGAAGCCTCCCCAGGGCCCCCCCTTCGTTCCCTGTTGGGAGCAGGGAGCCAGGGGTGTGCAGGATGCTCTGCTCCACCTGCAAGTCACCACCGCGCTTGGAGCCACTTTCAAGCCGTGCAAGCACTGTCCCTCCTGGGTGGCACATCCAGCTCAGCCCCAAAATAGTCCCTTTTCCCCCCTCAGTTGGACCACATCTGTCAGAGCCAGTAGTGTCCTGAGTGTCCCCCAGCTCCGGGCATCAAAGGGGACCCTGGGCACCCATCAGCCCCAAGAGCGGGCAGAAGGACACCTCCCTCAGGAAGGGGAAACTGAGGCAGGAGGATGAACCCGGGCTGTCCCATCCCCACCGGGCAGGGGGAGACCTTACACTCTGCTGGGCCTTCACCCTGGGGACAATGGGGAGCTGCTCTCTGTCCCCACGCTGCTCCCTCTCGGAGGGATGGCAACAGAGGGGTACCCCGATGCGACAGGTCCCCCCTCTGCGATGCACTGACCTGTCCCCTCCTGTCCCCTCCATCCCCTCCCTTGATGGGGCAGACGGTGGGTCCCTGTCCCAACCCGGGGCAGCTGTGACCGAAAACAAAGCTGTTCCCTTGGGGACAATACCCTTCTGTGTTGCCCCCCCCCACCCCAGATGCTGACCGCTGGGGTGGGCAGCGGCCGGGCTGGAGGCGTCGAGGGGCCGTGCCAGGCCCCCGCTGGCAGGGGACAATGTTGGCAGTGATGGAGAGTAGGTATTTCAAAAGGTTTTGTTTTCGGGTTGACCCGCCGAGCCGCCGTGACCCCGCAGCCCCCCACCCAGCCCTGCTCCTCCATCCCAATAGAAACCGGCCACATTCCTGACCTCGGGAGGAGGGGGGGGGGAAGTTTCAAACCTCCCCGGGAAGGAGACAATGGGGGTGTCAGGGCCGTGATTTAGGAGGGGGGGGCTCTTTCCATCACAAAGGCGAGACAAAGGCGCTCGGTGCTGGGAAAGGGGCTTCGGCGGCGGCTCAGGAGCAGGGCCGTGGTATTGTGCCTGGCCAGCCGGCCTCGGCAGCAGGACAGCCAGGGCCCACCGGGTCCCACCAGGTCCCATTGGGTCCCACTAGGTCCCATTGGGTGCCACCAGATCCCATCGGGTCCCATCAGACTCTCCATCCCAACCCTTACAGCAGCCCTCCCCATGGCCACCCTGGGGACCAGGGTCTGGTGGCTTCATGGGTGTCACTGCCACCCATGGCAGGAGGGAGCAGGTCCCCCATCCCCACGTGGGACGACTGGGACACCCCCAGCTCCCTGCATCACCCTACACCAGTGGGGCTGGCAAAGAACCAGCCCGTCCCAGGGGGTTTTGGGCACCCCCAGGTCCCCTGGGCAGCCATCCCCATCCTGGGGACACAGGCAGACCCAGAGCCCTGACCCCCCCACCATGTGCCCTCCTGGGGGTGTTCAGGGCTGGGGTCCCCCTCTCCTCTCCGAGGACCAGGCAAGGGATGAGCAGCTCCTCTGTCTGTCTCTCAAAGGGGCTTTGTGCACCCCGGGGCCACCAGGCATCCAACTTACAGTGTTCCTCCGCCGCTGAGCTGAGCCCACGTCTCCGGCCAGCGTCCCGGTGCCGAAGGGCTCGGAGCTTGCACGGAGAGGGGTTTTGGTTTGTTTTTTTTTTTTTTTTTTTTACAGGAGAAATATTTTTCTCCCGGTGCTGGACGGGCCGATCCGCAGGAAAAGCTGGAAACAAGTTGATTGGCTTTTCTCTCGCCTCCCTCTCCTTGCCCTAATTTTTATTTTCCTGGCAGCCGGCGAGAGGAAGGGAGCTGGCAAGGTGATGCTTTTTTGGGAAGAGGGGAACTGCTGGTGAAAGAGGCATTCACCGCCCCGGGAGCCTTGGGAACGCCGAGAGCCGGGGGGGGGCCGGCGGGAGGGCGGGAGGCTGGTCACCGGCCACCGTGCGGAGGCTGATCGGTGTGGGGAGGCTCAGACCGGCAGCAGGTGGAGGGGAGGCCGGCGGGATGCACCAGAAAACCACCGGTGCTGGACGGGCCGATCCGCAGGAAAAGCTGGAAACAAGTTGATTGGCTTTTCTCTCGCCTCCCTCTCCTTGCCCTAATTTTTATTTTCCTGGCAGCCGGCGAGAGGAAGGGAGCTGGCAAGGTGATGCTTTTTTGGGAAGAGGGGAACTGCTGGTGAAAGAGGCATTCACCGCCCCGGGAGCCTTGGGAACGCCGAGAGCCGGGGGGGGGCCGGCGGGAGGGCGGGAGGCTGGTCACCGGCCACCGTGCGGAGGCTGATCGGTGTGGGGAGGCTCAGACCGGCAGCAGGTGGAGGGGAGGCCGGCGGGATGCACCAGAAAACCAATGACATCACGTTGTGGGGTTTTTTGGGGTTTTTTTTTTGTTTGTTTTTTTCTTTTCCGGGATGAAATGTAATTTGCAGACAGCATCCCCGGCCGCCCGCGAGCCAGGAGCAGGACGGGTCCCCCCAGGACACACGGACGCCCGCCAAGGCCCAGCCTTTATTTTTTTCCCCCTTTTGGGTCAGAATAAACCTACATTTTAGTTCCTGGCCCACAGAGGGCAGGTCCAGCAGACCAGAGCCCGGCACAGCCGGCGCCAGTGCCCCACCAGGGACCCCCCATCCCCACGGTGGGGGCAGGATCCGTCCCCGGCCGCCCAACCCGGGATGGCTCCTTTCGCCTCTTCCCTCTTAATTTTGTTTAGAAACTTGTCAGGTTGGTACATAAAGGAGGTGAAAAGATCAATCCCGGCTTTTCATCAGTGTGGGAAAAAGTATTTCACTAATCCATATTTATTGGTGTAAGGAGCTGGAGGGGGGGGGAGGGCAAGAGACCCTAATGGTCAGGAGCAAAGGACAGAAGGGACAGTTTAAGGCTGCCCTTTTTGGAGAGGTCACATGTCACCAAAATCTTTCGGTTGTCTCGGGATTGGTTACATTCTGTTCTCTTTTTTTCTATTGAGGTTGCCAAGCAACTGGCTAAGACCAGCCAAGATATTTTCTTTATTACAAGTGGAGCAGAAAGCAGCAAGGAGGAGAGAGATAAAAAAAAAAAAAAGAAAAAAAAAAAGAAAAAAAAAAAGAGAGAAGAGAAGAAGTTTAGACAATTAACATTTATAGGATCACATAACTTCATTAACTCGGCCGAGATTTGGGAAAGAGACTTCAAAAAAAAAAAAAAAAAGGGGGGGGGGGGGGAGCATTAGGAATTAAAGCGAGTCATAACTTCATTAACCCGGCCGAGTATTGGGAAAGAAACTTCAAAAAAAAAAAAAAAAAGGTGGTGGTGGGGGAGCATTAGGAATTAAAGCGAGTTAAAAGGCCGGCAGGTCCAGGGCTAAAACAATGTGGGAGCACCCGGGAGCGGTGACGGGGGCTTCCCTCTGATGGTTCCCACTTCCCAAAGAGCTGCCCGGTCCCGGGCCGTGGCTGCGACCCAGCGCAGAGGCCTTCAGCTGGTGCTGATGCTCTTTTATTTTATTTTTATTTTTTTTTCTTAAATGCCGGGTTTCTTTTGATTTTCACACTCCTAGGAAGTGGGTTTATTGCTGATGGAGCTGGCAGGGAGCTGTGGGGGCCAGGGGAGCCCTTGGGAGGGATGCGTGTGACCATAGAGGGGCATCCCCCCCCCCCAATCCTCGGCCGTGGTGTGGGACGTGGGCTGTGGGGACGTGGCTGTCCCCAGGCCCTGGGACACCTTCGTGCCTCCGTGGGTGTGTGGAACCTCCTGGGGCCGGGAGCCACCGGTGGGCGAAGAGTCTCCGGTGGCAGATCCCTGCCCTGGTGGACGCTGCTCAGGGCTCAGGCCTCACCCCGGCCCTGGGCTGTCCCCTGCCCCAGGACATCCCTGCGGGTTGGGGACAGTCACCGGGGTCACCCCACGTCCCCGCAGCTCCGGGCTGCTCCGAGCATCCTCAGGGCTTTGGGAGTTTCTCCCCCAAGCACAAACCGACCCCTCTCCCCCAGCAGCCAGACCCCGTGTGAGGACACGGAGGGAGGTGGAGGAGGGGCAAGGACACCCCCCACCCTCACCCCCCCTCCCGGAGACCACCAGAGCCCCTACACACCCCCCAGCCCCCTCTTGGTTCCGCTCAGGGACCCCAG